AACGATTATGAGTATGAGATCAAGTACCACCCAGGCAAGGCCAACGTGGTAGCTGATGCATTAAGTCGGAAGGAGTACTCTAATCGTCGTACAAAAACTCTCTCAATAACCATTCAATCTCACCTAGGCACTCAAATTGCAGTAGTCCAGTCGGAGGCCATGAAGACGGAAAATAGAGCAAGTGAAGCACTGCGCGGAATGGAGAAGAACCTAGAGGCAAAGGAGAATGGAGTATACTATTTCATGAACCGTATTTGGGTCCCTAAACTCGGAGGATTTAGAGAAGTTGTTATGAAGGAAGCCCACAAGACACGATACTCCATTCATCCCGGTTCAGACAAGATGTATTTGGACATTAAACAACACTATTGGTGGCCTAACATGAAGGCGGAAATTGCGACCTACGTTAGTAAGTGCCTTACGTGCGCCAAGGTAAAGGTGGAGTACCAGAAACCCTCAGGATTGTTACAGCAACCAGTAATCCCGTAGTGGAAATGGGAGGGGATTTCTATGGATTTCGTGACCAAGCTACCCAAGACGTCGGACGGACTGGACACCATATGGGTAATAGTCGACCGACTGACGAGGTCTGCCCATTTCCTGCTTATAAAAGAATCCTACAAGATGGAAAGATTGACACGTTTGTACATTCGAGAGATCGTGAGACTCCACGGAATACCAGTATCTATCATCTCGGATAGGGACAGTAGGTTCACGTCACGATTTTGGCAATCACTCCATAAGGCGATGGGAACAAACCTCGACATGAGCACCGCTTATCATCCACAAACGGATGGTCAAAGCAAGCGAACCATCCAAACGCTCGAAGACATGCTCCGCGTATGCATGATAGACTTTGGGAAGTCTTGGTATACCCACCTACCTTTAATCGAGTTCTCATATAACAATAGTTATCATTCGAGCATCAAGGTGGCTCCTTTCGAAGCACTGTACGGGCGTAAATGTAGATCACCGTTATGTTGGGCTGAAGTAGGTGACACCCAGCTAGCAAAAACAGATACGTTGGACAAAGCACTAACGGGACCGGAGATCATTCGCGAAACCACGGAAAAGATCGTTCAAATCAGAGCTCGATTGCGAGCATCGCGTGACCGACAAAAGAGCTACGCTGATAAACGGTGAAAGCCTTAGAATTTCAGGTCGGGGATCGAGTACTGTTGAAAGTCTCACCATGGAAAGGGGTTATACATTTCGGAAAACGGGGAAAGCTGAACCCACGATACATTAGAACTTTCGAAATCGTCGCCCGAATAGGTCTGGTAGCCTACAGACTGCAACTACCCGCAGAGCTAAACGGTGTACACCCCGTGTTTCATGAAGTGCCTATCTGATGAAACCCTCGTCATTCCTCTTGACGAGATCGAAATAAATGAGAATCTCCTGTTCGTTGAAGAACCAATTGAAATCATGGATAGGGAGGTGAAGCGTACTAAGCAAAGTCGTATCCCGATCGTGAAAGTAAGGTGGAACGCAAAGCATGGACCAGAATTCACATGGGAACGCGAAGACCAAATGAAGCAAAAGTACCCTCACCTATTCTAGCATTCTCAAATCTAGCTTTCAAACAGAATTTCGGGACGAAATTCCCTCTAACGGGGGGATGATGTCACAACTAGAAATTTTGTGTCTTGTAATCACTATACTTAAGTAAAACATTGAACCAAAAACTTAAGATCATGTGTGATGCCTTCAAAAACTTCAATAAAATACATCATACCAGTACTTCAAATAGTCAACAAACAATTGGAAACCCTAGAAGTTCTTGTTTAGGTCCATTTTGGACTAGGACTTCCTTATTGGGCCCAAATGGACCAATAAGCTTCCAATTTGACTATCATGGGCTTAGAACCCTTAAATGGGCTCTAATTGGACCCACATACATTTATTTCAACCTTTTGGTCCATATTGGGCCTAAAATGAAATAAATTAAAAAGTTTTGAACCATGATTAACTTAAACTAGCCCAACAAAGTACGAAGATCATATTATATTTCTTTTAGGTTAAAACTCATCCAACCTAACCTCTACATGGGCTTGAGGGCATTAAAGCCCAAATTTTCCTTTTCCTTCAAAATTCTCGGCCCAAGGCCCAAATCCAAGGAGAAATGAATAAGGTTTGACTTTCATTGCCACCTCTTTATTCTCTCATGGATCTCCATGCACAAACACATGTTTCCATGCACCTATCACTTCACTCATTTCTTTTCCCCCTCTTTCTTTTCCCTTTGGCCGAGAGTTTCCACACACACACATCTCACAAAAATCTCTCTAAACCACTCAAGACTTCTCTCTTCCTCTCCATTCAAAATCTCGAAATTTTGCTTGTGTTTCAAGAGGATTTTACAAGATAATCATCATCCTTTGGTAAGTTTTTCCATGTCTAAGTTACAAAACTCCCCTCTCATATAAGATCACTTATTCTAAACAAGTTTCTTTGGTGATCATACTCCTAGAAAACTCCATAAACTCGAGATCTTCATCAAGGGGTGCTAGGGCCAAAAATCACCAAACTTTCTTCCATCTCTTCTTCAAAAACCGAAACCACACCCTAAGGTGAGCTTCATACTCCCTATCTTTCGGTTTTATAAGTTTTGTGGGGGGGGGATACAAGTGAAAGTGTAGATCTATATGTGTTTTGTATGCCTTGTATGATTTCTATGCTTATATGTGTGTTTTTGTGTGTTTATGATGTTGGATCTAACCATAAGCCCCTAAAAATCGAGATATACTTTATGTTAAATGATACTAGCATCAAATATATTTCTACATACAAATTATTCCAAGAAAAATAGCTAAATGGCTTAATAACATCTTCTTTGGGCTAAAAACTAAATTTTTGGACATAAAATGTTAAAAATATAAAGTTAAAGGGCCCAAAATGACATATTACGAATTCTGATGGATGAGAAGAGTCAAAACAGTTTCAATAAAGAATTTTCTGGAAATATACTCTTTTGGAGGGTTGAAAATATAAATTTCAAGCTTAATGGGCTAAAAACAACATTTTTGGCCCAATAGGGCCCAATATGCGAAATTTTCTGTTTTGAAGGGCCAAAACTGTATTTTTCTGCAAAACAGTGGACTACTAGTGTCCCAAGTCCTTTTCTAAGGTTAAAAATGCTTTTCATAATTAAAAAGGACCAAAGTTGCAAAAATTTTCCAATTTGGGGCAAAAGTGTAAATTTGCAAAAAAGAAAGGTTTCAACCGAGAAAACTTTCTTTTCAGGGATCAAAACTGTTTTCAACTAAAAATATGCTGAAAAATATCAATTTCAACAAGTTTTAGTGTTAAAACGTCAAGAAAAACGGTTTAAGGACCAAATCGGAAATTTATTTATTTAAAGGGTTGAAAAAGTAAATTTATAACAAAAAGAGGGGCTGTAACAGAAAAGTTGAAATGTTAATTCAATACATCCGTTGTGATCAAACACTGGCACTACGACTACCGACGAATTATATTACACCACAACACCAAAAATCGTTATCAAACGAATTGATTCGGTCTCGAATCAATGACAAACCCGAAACTACTAACACGACAATAACTCGACTCATACACGGAAACATTTGGGAATTCAACACACACGTGAGAGTGCACAGACGTCGACGCACCATCTTTGGGCCCCAAAGTGTAAAATCTTGTTTGTTGGGCCTAGCTAGCCCATTGACCTGATCTTTAGGCCCGAAGACTCCAACCTTACGAGTTGTTGGGTCTTACATGATCCAACACAGCGTAAAAGGACTTTCAATGGCTTTTTACTATTGGTCCCCAAGGGTCCTGTGGTACTGCTAGTAAAGTCGGTTATTCACATGCGAGTGGGCCAAGGGCCCTTCGTACTTTTTTTTTTATTCCCAACCGGCTAATGGAGTTACCGAGGTCTTCGTGCCCTCTTTTTCTTCGGATGTGGGACTACAAGAAGTCAGGGCGGTTGGATTACGTGAATAATACTGATGACGCCTACGGGATCATTAGTATAAGTTGCAAACTGGCCGTTTGCGTAACGCGTGTTTATAGCAATTCACCATGCGCAATAATCCGACGTCGCCTGAAATCAATGACTTCACATGTCGCGATGGTACAACAACCACATGGAATTCAAAGTGTTAGGAAAACATCGGGTTTTCCTAGGGTCTTTTTTTTTTGTTTTTGTATATACAGTCTCAAAATGTACACAAGTTTGATGAACACTTTTTACAACTATAGAAACAAACAAGCATACTTATGGATCTTCACAAACTTTTTCATAAACTCTTTTCAGAAAATATCAGATTTTCTGGTAGTTTTCAAAACAATACAAAACGTTGCTTTTCAAATACCGCTTATGAACTCACCAACATTTCATATGTTGACGTTTTTCAAAATACTTGTATTCTCAGGTAACAAGTAAACCGAAGGAAATGTATTCAGTGATGGCTTGCAGTTTGTCTATCTATGATCGAACAATTTATTTTTGGGAATGTAATATTAAAACAATATACTCAGTGTAAACTCTACCAGTTATACTATATTAATGCATGGTGACGAACGATATTATGTTTCATATATATTCAATGTTATGGTATTCAATTAAGTCACGACAGCCCTCGGACGTTTCCGCCGTCTGGTTCGGGGGTGTGACACACATATTACCACATCCACCACAATATATATTTTCATGCTCAAAGTATTACATTTGAGGGATGTGCTTTTTTCCCCTGCGGTAGAGCTGTAACACACAAGATGTATACCGCACTTTTGTTTGGGGTCGGTGCAGTGTTTACCGCACACCGCACTATACCCTAGTGTGCGATACAATGCACACCACATAGTCTAAGTTGATTGACAATATAGAATTCATCCAAAAAAAAAAGTTATTCAATATAGAATTCATCCAAAAAAAAAGTTATTCATATTATCTTATGATCTATAATGTTAGGTTGAAACCCTCACACAGTTTTAATCAAATTAACTAGCATAAATACTGAATTAAAGAGAGAAAATGTTAAATAGTGGTCGATTTTATTTCACCCAATAAACCGAATTGTTTACAAACTTCAAAAGAAAAAAAAATGTTCTCTTCATCCCTCTATTAATTAGTCTGTACAATTTACAAACTCTTTACAATTGATCTGTTTAACCTCCATTATCAGAGATCAAATATAGCTTTGATCACACAGATTATAACCAGATATAAGAGAGCTAATCGCAAAACAAACAAAAGCCAAAATAGACATCACTACAGATGCAGAAGCCTTCTTAGTAAACTCATCTTTCCCCCAATTCGATGCCCAGTCATCGATCCTTGTAGCCGCTGAAGATGATGACGAAATCAACAGATACGCCAATATCTGTCCCAAATCAGTACTTTTTAGAAAAGCTAACTTTGCAATGAGTTATAATGGATGAATACTTATTGGTTTATAGCACTTACCTGATCTATAAAGAACTCGGAATGAAAACGAAGAAGATATGTGACAATATGTCTTTCGTAGATTAAATGGCATGTCATATCAATGGCTTCAAATGCTGCATATGTGAAAGCGATAGCATTCACTGCTACCAAGTACCTATGCGATCAAAGGAGGGAAGTTCAAAGATCACAATGATTAAGGAAACAAAAATCATCAACTGTTTGACTCAACGTTGACCCAACAAATTGGAATTGAAATCAGATCATACCTGTACTCTTTGTATCGATCAAAGGAATCACCACTCCATCCTTGAGTTTTATCGGAAGCCATCACGGAAAAAGCAATCAAGCTTAAAATCACTTCACATACTCTGCATCCTAAAGCTGCTCTTTCAATTGTCACTTCGCTCCTTGACTTCCTGACAATTGACATTACCGGCAATCTTGTTTTCTTATTTCCTCCATTACCGGGAGGTATTCCGCCATCTTCAACACCGCGTGGCCCTGCTTTAGTATTTCCGCCGGTCAACACATCTTCCTTCACTGACCGGTTATACGATATGGCAGGGGATTGAGATTTTGCAAGCGGCGAGACATTGATGGTATGAGAAGATTTTTGGCTGTTGGAAAGCGGAGATCTGAAGGGGTTTTGGAACTTGTCAACAGCGACGATGGCTGTAGAAGCGGATGAGGAGAAGTCGTCGGAGCGGAGAGGCGAGTCGGCGCGGAGAGGGGAGTGGAACTCGTCGAGTTGGGAATCGGTGTCGGAGATTGATCGGTGACTGGTGGCCGAGCTGTGGTGGCGATGATGACTTTTAAGGAAATCCATGGCAAATAATTTCAGGACCTCCCTGTGAATTATTAGGGGGAGATGTTATTTTACGTAATCAAGGAAGTTATCAAAACGTGTCACGATAAAAGGAAATCCTTTAAATATGGCAAAAATCATTGCCAAATATATTGTAAATCGATATTTTTTAATTTTAATTTTATTATTTTTTTAATCTTTATTACGTTATAGATCGGGTTAATCTAATCTAAAATGACATTTTCCGAATAAATGTTACATATTTTTTGATAATATCGTATAGGGAAAATGACTTATATGGGTAATTATATTTCAAAATCATTTAAAAAATATTATTCAAGTTTGGTGTGTTCTAAAAATTGTAAATTATTTGTACAAAAAATACCAACAAAGTACATTTTTTGTTCAAATTTGATATTGTGGTAACCGGCAATTACCTGACTCAAATGGGTAACTATGTATCAAAATCATTCAAAAAACATCATTCAAGTTTGGTATATTCAAAAAACATCATCTAAGTCTGGTATGTTCAAAAAATATCATCCAAGTAAATCTTTTGTACAAAAAACATCAACAAACTATATGTTTTGTTCAAATACTACCCATCGGTAACTAGCTTTTACAAGTTAAATGATGATTTGGCTTAATTATTATGACATAACATAATAATTATTGACAAAAAAATACATGATATATTCCTCCTTTAAAAATCGATTTAGGGTTTCTTCATGAACAAATGACTTCTTCTTCTCCTATGATTGTTCTTCTTCTTTTAAAGTGATGATCTCGAACTCAAGTCCAAAAAACTCTAATTCTTGACTTAAGGCAAAAAAAGGCTCCTTTACTCCTGCCTCAATGGGCCTCCCTCCCCCTAAGGCCCAAATCCATAAAAAGCCCAAAAAGGGATCCAAGCCCAACTACAATATCTCTAAGACCCAAGATGGCCCAAGAACACCTAACATGGCCTTAAGCCCAAAAAATGACATGCTACAATCAAGTAGGCCCGAGGCCTAACTTAAACAAGTCTATGCATACGCCCAACATATGTTGAAGCCTCTATGATTCGGATTTCAAGCCAGTACGCCCGACGTACTCCTAGCGTACGCCCAACATACCCGGCTAGGGTCAAGAACCATCAATCTTTCGAAGGCCATAACTGTTGGATTAGGTGTCTAAGCCCATAACCATAATGGGTATATACTTGAATTGATAGTAGCACAAGTAATTATGAGACAATAATATCGTATAATCTTTAAATCGGGATATATGAGTTTTTTATGAGTTAGTTGTGCAATGATAATGCATAAATGCATCAATAGTAAGTTGATGTTATAAAACGTATTGTTGTGTACGATTTGATGAGTAAATAGTACAAGAATATAAGTCAAAGTTTATCTGTTTCTTTTTCCCTAATGGGGAAAAGCGATATCTTGGGCTCCTCAATGATTTGGTGTTGACTTATGTGTCGGGCCTGATCAGGACTGAATTGATGTGTTCAATTATGATCCTTATCATACAAATCGAAAATCAGGAAACAAACTGTTGGACAATGAGAATGATTCTATTCCATGTCATTTGTCCACATGATATCTTATAGAACGGAGGATTATATTATCCCTTATCTAAGGACACACAACCGACTAGGTCAAAGTTCGTCAACGACTTTTGAAAGCTACAATGTGCTGATAAATTTTTGAAGTTATACTTGCAATCATAGTTATTAGACTTATCCAAGTGGAAGACTGTTGGATTAGGTGTCTAAACCCATAACTAAAACAGGTATATACTTGAATTGATAGAGTCCTTTTGGGTTGCCTTCACTCATGCAACTTGACAGGATGACTATTAGAGTGAGAGTTGAATTTATTATTTGGAATAATAAATTGATGCTTAAAATGATTTGTTAATATATTATAAAAATAATATGTTAATTAGAAATCATATTATTAATTAGTATGTAATCTGAAATTAATTTGGAATTGATTCTGGGATTAAAGGAACTGATTAATAATGCAGGGGCTATTTTTCAAATCATTGATAGCTGTGAAACTGGGCTTCAGGACTCTTTAGATAGGAGTGGACGAAAATTATAGGGAGGCCCTATAAGTTTTCATCCAAGGCTTTTTAATGAGGGTTCATGGGCTGCTTTGGCCTTAAGCAGGGAGTTAGGGTTTCCACCTGCAAACCCTAACTTTAGGACTAAGCAACCAAAAGTATATAAGGAGGGTTACCTTGTGATTTTTGGCCACGACCTTCTAAGAAACCTAGAGAGCCGAAAATTCTAGTGTGCCTCCTTTTTTTTTTATCCTTCTTGCATAGAGTGTTTGTAAGCCATTAGAGGTGTCACACTTGAGGCACTTGCTTTCAAGAGTCAAAGATCTTCAAGGTGTTCTTGTTATTATTACATCACAGGTAAGGTAAACATCTAAACCCTATTTTTGTGTAAATTTTGAATTATATACAAGTTTATAGGGCTTTCCTTTGGTATTCAAATTTTCATGTTCAACTAGTAAAAAATCTAGATCCAAAGCAATAGGGTTGCATGAATACATATTATTTGTAGTTATGCTCAAAACCCATCAATAACTTCTTCATTCTAAGTCTGATTTTGTCATTCTTTATATCCACAGGAAGGAAACGAGAAGCTCTACACTTCTATCAACTTTCCCTTGCCTTAAAACATTTCCAACATAAACCCAAACTTCATAAAGGCTCAAACTGATGCTTACTAATATGCCCTTGGGCTCCAACACAAACTGAACACTCGGTCCTTACAAACTACATTATCCATCACCAGATAGGCGTTACAGACACCACTACCTGTTACGAACGAATATTAATTTGAATACATCATACACAAGCATCATAATCATATCCCTGGAAACATGCAAAAGTAATGGTATGAAATAATAAAATAACAAGGAAAGGACAAGAGACGTGCCTGTCTATAGACCAGATAATAAATGAAGGACCCGTCAAGACTATAAACTCTTCTAACAACGAGTAGATTATAAATACCCCCAAGGACATGATATCTGAGGCAAAGTAAAGTAAGGCAAAAAAGAGATAGCATACATAACATTAAGGTAACACTAAGAATCGCAATCTAATTTAGACATCAGAGAGCTATGTCAGGGTCCAAATTAGATTGTGATTTTGTTTCCGAAGGCCATAACCCTCGATTGGACCCCGAAATGACAAAATCTAATTTAGCATTAAGGTAACACTAAGAATCGCAATCCGAAGGTCATAACCCTCGGTTACCACCAGGTCAAATTGAATAAAGAATGTACTTCGTTGGTGTTTTTTGTACAAATGCTTTACTTGAATGGTGTTTTTTGGACACACCAAACTTGAATGGTATTTTTAAAACTATTTTGAAATATAGTTACTCATATAAGTCATTTTCCTTATCATATAACAATTTCTTAAACTTCCCCTGCTGTAATAACGTCTCTGTATTGTTGGTCGACCTTCCATTTCTGGTCTTCAAAGTTATCAACATTACAATTCATCCAATTGGACATCAAAGTATGCACCACTAACGTTTAGGCCTAATTGGGGCCTTTTATGCTTGTCCGTTAACCTTCATTGAAGGAATTTCTACCCATTTCGTAAGTTATTTTTTTCTAACTTTCTTTGGAGAGCAAACTTATAAATTAGAAGGTATAGTGACAAACCGGTGCAAGACGATTTAAAGTCCAGGGCAAAGTAAAAGTATAACGCCTTTATAGGTTCAAATGTGGATTGATAACTATTTTGTGGTTGTAGGGACCAGTCAAAATTTAGCAAACAATAAATTATTAATTAAATTAAAAAGGTTATATTTGTAATATTACATGTATATGTTAATTAATATCTAAATTTATGAATTGAAATCCTTTATTTTCAGCAATTGGTTTCTAAATTACCCTATTAAAATCCACCTCTCACCACTCAGTCGTACAATTCCCGCTTCACTGTTTCACGATCGCTACATTGCATCTTCACCTCTAACCCACAAAATCACAAACCTATATGATTCAGATAGTCGCAAATCCATGCTGAAGAAGCCAACTAGTTTCATTTGGAAGAATCAAGTGTGAATGTTACTAGGGTTTAAGATCGAGATTCAACCAACTTATTTTTTGTGCCTCCTGTGATTGAAGAGGTGATGGGGGTCGAAGTTGCCCCTTGCACTAACGATGATGGTGTTGGTTAAAGGAGACCTCTACCCACTTTTTGTGTGTTCGATCAAACACTCTCAACCGAGACTGCTTCCATCATTCTGACTATTGCGATTAACCTTCATCTTCCCGATTTCCAGTTCAACATTGTGATTTTGTTTATGCAAAGCATCTTCCATTTATGTTTGAAGATACATTTACTCCAATCAAGCATAAATCATCAATACCTTCATTCAAACCCTAACCCTAAAACCTTTATGCAACCGCCACTTTATTTCCCCTACCTCCAGCCGCCACTATCAACTCCGGCCACTTAGCATCACCAAACGTCCATCGGCGGCTCTTGTTGTCGGCCATAGGAAAGACTGTCAGGAAATCGGGTTATGTCGCACCAAGTGGAGATCGGAGGACCAAATGTCAATGTGGTGGTTTTCGTTGCTGTTATTCTCGACCTTATCTTCTTCTTCGTTCCTCGCTCGCTACGCCCCAACTCATGATTCCATTGCCAGCGCAGCTTCGAGTGGCTGCCTCTTATGCTCTACTGCTCTGGTTTTCACCTGCCACCTGAAGTGGCATAGTTGGGTGTGTTTCTGTGTTCAGCTCGTTTGTGTGTGTGTGTGTGCATGAATCTGCTACATCCAAGAGGTGTATGTGGGTGTTTGTTGGCCAGAAAATGAGAAGAGAACCACCATGGCTGCCAACAATGGTGGCTGTCATTTTCTACCATTTCGTGACACCACCAGCCACCGTGTGTGGGTGGTTGTGTGTGTATATTGGTGTGTGTGCTTGCTTTCAATGGTGAGATGTGGTATGAATGTCTTTAGCCGGAAAATCAAGGAAAACCTTTCACCACCACCGTGAGGTGGTGGCTGCTGCCATGAACCGTCGTCGATCACCACCGCTCGAGGTGGCAGTCAGTGGTGGCCAACCTAGTGAAACCTAATTAA